TAAAACAATATGAAGATTCCTCAAAAAAATTAGAACTACAGATTCCACTTCACCCAGCTATTTCCCTTTTAGGTATCTTCCCAAAAGGGTTAAAGACATTATATTACAGTGACATATGCATGCCCATGTTTATAGCAATACAATTTATAGCAACTAAACCTTGCAAGCAGCAAGAACAAATGAATGATTACAAAAAATGTGGTATTTATTCACAAGGGAGTACTATTCTGTGATAAAGAAGATAAACTTGAGTCACCTTGTTAAGTGAATAATGACCATAAGTGAAATAAATGAAGACCACAATGTTAAGTGAAATAATCATACTGTTTCTTTTATATGAGAAAACAAATTATAAATATACAGCAAAATAAAAGATAATAGGAAGTAGAACAACAGATCTTTACAAAAGGGAAGGGGACCAAGATAAAGTTATAAAAAAGAAAAGTGACAGAAGACAGATTTACTGTTTGTATCATTAAAGAGAAAATATTCAGTTTTTTGTATTGAGTATAATGCTGGGTACAGATTTTAGGTAGACTGAGTTGGAGAAGTTCCTATCCATATTTTTATGACAGGTTTTAACACAATATATATTTCAAAAAATTTCTTCCATCATTTGGTGTGTTTATTGGTCAGTTTTGCGTGGGAACAAAATACTACTGGGGGCAAGCTACTTGAGAAAAAAGGAGGTTTAGTGACCTCACAGTCCTGGAGGTGCCTAGTCTAAGATCTGAGGGGCCTCATTTGTTCAGTATGGTGAGAGCTTAACAGCAGAGAGTGTAACTCAGAAACTTCTCAATATGCCTCTCTTCTAAAATTTTGGATGCCTTCCAATATGGTCTCCCTAAGGCCCATGTCACACACACAAAGGCATTCCAGTGATCATTCAAACTACAGCAATATGAGTATGTTAAAATTATTTTTAGTCTGTTAAGTTAGATTGCATTGGTTGACTTTCTAATACAGTGGTATCTCAGTTCAGGAATGCTTTTCTTTGCAAACAATTTGGTTCACAAACAGAAGCATTTGTCAAAATTTTGTTTTTGTTTGTGAACTCTGTATTGGGTGTCAAACATGACTGTGGCCATCTTTCCCACATGAACACAAATGTGGCCATCATTTCCGGAATAGTGGAATGAATTAAATTCGTGAATAGAGGTACCACTGTATTATATCAGCCTAGAATCTGTGGAAAAAGACCATACTTTGCAATAGTTTGATTTTTCTTTATATATTGATGATTTTTATATATTGATTGATAATTTATGATTTATATTCTTTATATATTAAATCTGCCTGTTTTTGATTCAAAGTATTAGTAGCTCCATGGAAAGAATTGAAATGTTTTTTCTCAAGGTTTTGTAGACATAGTATTCTTCTTTATATGTTTGGGATAATTCTCCAGTAAAACCATGTAGTCATGGGTATTTTCTCTTTGGAAATTTAAAAATTAGAAATCTTATTTCTCTCATGGTTTTATAGCTCTTCAATGTGTTACATATTCAGTGAGTTGTGGGTAGTTTGTACCTTTTCAGGAGCTGGTCTATTTTATATGATTTGTCAAATTTATGTGTACAGTATATAGAGTTTGGCAGAATTGCTTTGAACCTATTTGATGTGCACAGGTTCTGTTGTGTTACCTTCCATTTCAGGCTTGATATTGTCAGTTTCCTAGAAGTGGAAAGCTCCCTCTTTTTTCTCAAATTGTGTACAATTTTAATTACACAAATTATGTGTTAGCACATTCTCGTTGCAGAATTTACCATTTCAGAGCATGGAGTAAAAGAGTAAATATTCCATTGCCTTCTCCATTTATTTCTCTCATCTTACTCTTTGACCCATGATAATTGGTGTTAATAGACTGCAGTATGTTGTTCTAGGATGGAGAATCCTATCCCCGAGCAGCATGTGTTTTGCCTAGTGGACACTTTTTCCAGACAACTTCCAGGGTCATAAAGAATTTTGAAGGTGACATTTGGTTGTGGAGGAAGTCAGCAGACAGAAGATAGAGGGAGGAGCCATTCTGGTCTTACAGCTGGCAGGTATGTAAGGTGAGTCCCCAGCTCAAATTTCTGTCCTTGGTTCTCTCCTCCTTCTAGCACACATTGACCATCAGAATGGAAACTAATGCAAGGTAGTGCACACTTCTCATCCTCAGTGTTATATCATCCCTTGCTTTCTCTCTGGTTCTTGTGATGCCTTGCATACCTGAGCTTTGCCATAGTAGCAGAGAATTCTTCTCATGAATGTATCAGACCATATTGCCCAAAGCCAAGCCAAAACACTTTGGAATCCTTTAAAATCTAAACAGAGGTCTGTTTCTGCAGCAGGGCAGTGATCATCCTGGCTTTTCCATGAGTCTAGGCTTCTTCTCAACTTCTCAGTGTCTTCACATGTTCATCAGGCCATTTTACTCAAGGACAGATGAACCTTGGCTCATTTGATGGGGTATGGGATATAGGAATCTGGGATCCTAGCTCCTAGAGAACTTCTAACCTGTCAGCCAACAAACAATGAAATAAGCAAGATGTCAGTTTTTAGTTACTCCACCCAATTTGCAATATAAAGTTGAGTCCTGCTGGCATCCTGTCTCCATTCCCACTAGTTGCTATTTGGAAATCATGAGGGCTATGTTGTTTTTTAAAAATTCTTTTATTGGTACATTTATATTTCTCATTGGAAACTTGTACCTTTACATGATGCATCTTGATTCTTATTTTTTCCCCATTCCTAGCCCTCCCTTCACTCCCTCCACCCTTCCCTATTTACAAAGACTTTTTCCATTTTTTCCATTCCTCATAATTTTTCCATTCCCTTCTTTCCTTTCCCCTGCCCCTCCCACTTCCCCTACCCTTTTGGACCTTTTCTTCCTATTTCGCATTGTCAGTTATTCATTCTAATCATTGGTACATTTAGGTATACAAGATAATGACATTCATCATTGGAAATTTGCACCTTTACATAATCTCTCTTGGTTCTTAATTTCCCCCCTTCCCCTGCCCTCCCTTCAACCCCTCCATCCCTCCCTATTTACAAAGGCTTTGTTTCCATTTTTCCATTTTCGCATATTA